TTGCAAGCACCCTATTGTTATTCATTGGCTTATTCATTTTTTTAAAATTCTGGTACTTTTGATACTTTTAGGTCCTTTTTGCATCCTTGACTTTTTTATTGCTATTTTACATTGTTAGGGAGAGCAGAGAGAATTTATTCAGACACTTTTAAAATAATGCCTACAGTTAATGGGATGTCTACAAGAACATGAGGGGGTGCATGTGTTAAGGACTAAAATTGTCATGAAACGAAGAATCCCCCACCTTCACTCCCAAAGGGCAGAAATTATGGGCATCCCTTTCTCAGCCTACAGTAAAACAAAAGTGGAAGTAGCCCAAGTTGTTTGGCATTTTGCAAGCTGTCTCGTCACCTGCCAAAGGGGAGAAATAGAATGGGGATCTTGAGAATTTACTATTATTCCAATATCAATATTCTGCACTTAAATTTGAAGCATATTGACCCTCTGGGATCAAGCCAGTTCAAAGAGCAGCGCATTCATTTCTAAGCATAAACATTCAAGAAGTGGATGTATGAAATGAATACCTGATTTGGCTACAAACCCTTGTATTCGTTTCCAAGCTTAACAGGGCAGATGTTCATTACTTAGATGATGTCCTATTTGCAAGTATGAGAAGCCACATATTGCAGCAGCACATTTCCAACTTTTTATCAATTAACTGAAGAACTGAGCAGATTTGTAATCCTAGAATTAAAAAGGTAATTGCAATAATGTTATCTCATCAGACTTGTCAAGTCAGGTGTGCTTCAAATGTTTTACACTATTAAACACCCATTATTGCTGCCCACTAAAGGGCTCCAAATGGGTTATGGCTATTTTGCAATAAATGAGCCTGAATTCATGGCAAGGATAAAACTAAATGTATAATTCAAATTCTACTTGTATGTAGCTAGGTTGGATTAGAAAATGTTTGCAGATCTTATAATCATATTGGCTCATTTTCATATTGAAACCTGGAAAAAAATAGCAAAAATTGATTCTATGAAGGAACATCTTAAACTGTATCCCTTGAGGGGTTTGGATCCAGGTCAATGAACTTATGGACCCATATAGATCTTCTCCACGTTCAAAAAAATAAGTTTTCAGTAAATAATATATTAATAATGTGTTACAACAGAATCCTTTATGTAGCTATATACATTTCTATAAGCATTGTTTGTGTCAACAAAAATGATATATTTGTTTTCTGTCAATTTGTTCTCCCTCCCGCCCCCCCCCCCCCAAAAAAAACTCTGGTTACGAATATTAAGAGCTATAGACACAACAAATCTAGAGAATGTCAAATTAGAGAAAGCTGGTTCACAGGCCTGATAACATGGAAATTTTCACATTCATAGGTTGCTTGTCAAAAGTCAGTTAAAATAGATTTTATTGTTTATACATGGATTATCATCCATATAAACAGATAAAATACATAACTTGCAATTAAGAATTTTAATAGAATAATTCCTTGAAGTATTTTCAGAGTTTGTTCAAGAGAATTGTGGTCTTAAAAATGTGTAATTTTACTACTGACGTCAAGAAAGAGACATAGTAGGTTAAATTGATTATTTTAATTATTTTGTATCCTGTATCTTCAGCACACAAATGTTCTCAGGAAGAAAGCTAAGAAGTAAAAGCACAATGCTTAATCAAACAAAACATGGACAAAGCAAAACAGAAACACAGCAGCATAACTTTAAAAATCAAGGAAAGTTAGTTTTAGCAGCTATATTCTGAAGTAAAGAACTATGAATCTTTTCTTAACCACCACTCTGCAAACATATTATTAACAGCTCAGTGCAAAAGTCTTTGAAGTTACCCATTTATGATAAGTACAAATACGCAAAAGGAGCAGCATAAGACTAGTGCACATTTTTCTTTCTTAAAAACTGTAGTTCTATTCAGTTACATATTTGTTTTACAAGCCTTAATATTCATATAAGATTTTTGTAAATACATTGCTTTGTAAGATTGCAACCATCAAAACAGCAACCGGCATAATTTCAGATAAACAATAGAAAAGTTAGTGCAAACCATTTGGTAAATCGTTCCTAAACAGACAAATTTTTGATTTCAATTGTCAGCTAAGAATCAAACTATATTTAAACAATCCTTATCTCATCCCCATTGTTTTCACTTTTGCAAGATACAATACATCCAGTTGGCTGAAATAAATGTTTTAATATTTTAAAATAACATTCCTCATAACAAAATATCTTCTTCTGCATTTTAAAATGCAAGCCATCTTTTACTTCAAATCCCTGTATACATGCTTATTAAATACAATTGTTTCACTTTGGAGTCACTGTTCTACTGTATATTATTTTCAGCACTGGATCATAATATTGCTATGACTGATCAACAAATGACAATCACTGACTTTCCATTCTTTATTGAATGATCTTGAGCAAGTTAACTCTTTATTAAACATGTGCTAATTGTGTGCATTATTTATTCCATGGGGAAAGGAAGGATATAAATATCTGTGTTGCCATATTAGCATATTTCTGTTTCCAGCCATCTTCTTTTAACCAGTATTTTTTTAAAAAAAAAATATTTTAACCCATTTTTATATTGATTGATCTAACTCTTAGGAATAAACTTGTTTTCATGCCCTCCTTTCCCCATGCAATTCATTAGATTACTTTGTATTGTTTCTCACTTATAATTGTGCATGTTTACTAGTTTAGGGTTTTGCTTTAAATATTTTGTTAAGAAAATTTATTTATACAGCTACTTCAGACATATTTCTGCTTTACTGTTTTCCTCTTATTAAGTTGCATCCTTGAGTAAGATAAGACAATTGTTAATAAGATAAGACAATTGTCATTGTAACTAGTTCAGCCAGCAGATAACATTCAGTGACTTGAGGATACACTGGTAGGACTTTTAAATAGACAATCAAGTAGGAGAGAAAAAAACCCATGGAAAAACTGATTATACTCAAGAGGTTCACAACCAGTATTCTGCTGTATTGACAAGCTTCTGACAGGCCAAACCGTTCCCTAACCAACAAATAATATTCCCTGCTAAGTTTGGCATCCTTATGTGGAAAAGCCAGAAATACTAGGTTTGTAGAGCTGAAAAATACAGACTTCTGCTAGATAGAACAGGATTTTCTATACAGATAGACTTCAATTTGCAACCATTCAGAGTCATGGCCCTGCTAATGAAAGAACTGATGACTGGTTCCTTAGGATATTACCATTACAGTACTACTACAATCATATGACTGCAGAGTCACACTTATGGCTGCAGAGATGCTTAAACTCTCTACCTGCTTATCCCACCCTCTCTATTCCCTTTCAGGACCTAGCTCTTGCTGCCCAGCTGATCTCTGCCATCTTCTTATTCTTGTTGCTAACTACGTATGCTTGGCCTGGCCCTTTGCAAGGCAGCTGCTGGTTGAACAAAGTTTTGAAAAGGTTTTCTCAAATCGTACATGGCAGTCTTTTCATGAGGCGTAGGGAGTTTCACATGGCCAGCAGCTGCATCACAAAAGGCCAGGGCAGGAACACCTAATCAGCAGTGGAAACAAGAAGAAAGCGAAGGTCAGTGGGGCAAGTAAGGGCCTCAGAATACACGGTAGTGTGGGCGAGTTGGCTAGGGAGATTGCAGCTTGGCCAGGCTGGGTTGCAAAGGGTTTTGCACTGCATTGTGCCTCAGGGGCTTCTTGGAGCCTTAGAGGGGTGATGCACCTTTAAGTCCCTTTGCACCACATTGCTGGGCTGTGGTGGCTGTGGCTTCCAATGGTGGCTGCTGTGGTATGCCAAGAAGTCACAGACACACAGTTCTAAGGCTGCTCCCCTCGCCGCAAGGCAGGTGCAGGGTTGCCAAAAGAGCAGAGATGGGGAGAACAGGCAGTAGAGGGAGTTGGAGGGACCAAGCCCAGAAAGGCTTGAATTGGGATGGATCCTCAGGTAATGACTGGTGGAATTCAGTTAACAGGATGTGACAGGATTGCCATAGCTAAGTGATGCAGTCATGTGATATTGTGTATTATGACCCCATCAGTTAGTGATCGGAATTCTGGTCCCAATTCTGAATGTAACTGAAGGATTGCCTGTATCAGAGAATTCTTCAAACTTTTGCAACCAAGGTACAATAGTCCTATATACATCAATGGGAGTATTGTGTTTCTTTTCTTATACTATATACTATATACATATACCCATGCTACTTTTGATAGTCTCCAAATCCACATGAAGACTGAGTTTTTCCATTATGCTAAGTTTAATCAATATAGAACAAACCACAACCAGCTTTATAACGGATATGAATCATACACTATGTTTTAAAGTCACAATGCCTGATTTAGTACCTGCTAAACCAAAACAATGCCCGGTTTAGTACCTGCTAAACCAAATCTAGCCTGCTTTAGAAAACAGGCTAAGGGGGAAAAAATTAAGTTAATGGATTTTGTTTATAAGGTCTGCAAAATCAATTAAAAAGGATGAAATTGTGGAAGAAGGTGCAGACTTTAAAAGTAGGTCTTCCCTTGTGTCGATAATGGTTTCTATTTGCATCATGAATATAAAATCCAGAAGTTACTTTAAATCAATCTTTTGTCCTTAGAATATACAGGCTACTCAGGTAATAGGCAGGTCTAAACAAAAACTAAAAGCTGAAGATGAGAAATAATCAGAGAAATAATCATGTAGAAAAAAATCAATAGAAACTTCACTGGGTGGGATAGACATTGTCTGACAAAATGAAGTCTTAGTTACATATGCCCATCTCCAGTTTAGGTTACTATTGCTAAGAGTCACAGTCATTATTTCCCAGGACACATAAAAGACAACCATGATGGCCACAATAAAAAAAACCCTGAAATCTAAGTTGCAGCAATATCTTTATTAATGGTTGGCAGACAAGGCCATATATTGATTGAAACAGCAGAGGTCATAATGTCCTGCATTTTGACCAGCTCATTCTGCCTATCTGTGAATGCAGCACAATATTAAAATGTATATAACATCACAGGTAGGCAGAGATGGGCCCAACCATTACTTTGCTGACTAAAGAGTTTTGTGGAATTTCATATGGAAGCGAAATTCTTCTGCCTCTAGGAATATTTTATCACACAGAGTACATTTAGATCCTTTGTCTTTAGAACTGTGCGTGCGTCGCACATGACTGTCATGGGCAGCATGTGAAGCGAACACTTTACCACAGTGCTTACACTTGAAGGGCTTCTCTCCTGAATGTTGACGGATGTGAGTACGTAGGATGCTGGAGGCGGTAAAGGCCTGCAGAGAGCAAGGGAATGGATGAGAAAGTAATTAAGACCCCAGAAACAGAATGCCAGAAACATGAAATCTTTGTAATCCATCAGGGCCAGTCTCAGTAACTGCAGTATTCATAACTGTGGGGATTCTTAATCTCATGCTTATGAGTGAAAACTGCTCCTAAATCCAATAGTTTAGATATAGCATCTTTTCTACAAACAGAAGAAAAGCAGCTGGTAGGGCAAAATCATAATGGTTCCACAAGTACAGCATTCTAGTGAAAGATGACCCAAATGGCTAATGAGGGGACCAAATATTCCAATTTATGAATTGCAAAAAAACATCTCCTCACCTTGTTGCAGTATACACACTTATATGGTCGTTCTCCAGAATGCACCCTCGTGTGCTTGTTTAGACTAGAGGACTGAGAGAAACTTTTACCACATACAGAGCACTAAAATGAGAAAAAAATATCTAATCATTCTGTAATGGCAGAAGCAGTTAGATCCAATTCTGGTAGGGCATAGAAATTTGCAAACATTCATTTCATGCAGGTGAATTACCACACATTAAAGCAGTTTGTCACTGCATAACAATATACATGTGAAGCTCTGAACTTTTCAAAAATTATTTGGAAGAAGTGCTTCAGATATCCTGGAAGCAAACCATCTTTTGGGGACTTCAGAATTTGAAAAAAAGGTGTAGCTACTCTATCCCTTTGGAGCATGCAAGCAACACCCCAATAGGAGTAGAGTTAACACTGCAACACCATTTTCATCGGTCTGATGCACATGCCGCAGACATTCCCAAGGAACATAACTGTCTTTCTCCAAATCATGCACATTAATACCTGGCACACAGCTCTAGTTTTTAACTACACTACTTTTAGAAATATAAACAGCTGTTTCCCACGAGATACTTCTGAATTATATTCCGAATGCCCTCGATAATTATTCTAGCATTCTTTATTTATCTGGGATACTTAATTGCCATAAAATACAAAAAACAATGTCTTTTTCTGTGATAAGATGATCTACCTTTTCTTTTCTCCCTGCCCAATTTTGGTTTATTTCCAGTCTATTACCTGCTCAACTTATTAAGAAAATATTTAATTTCTGTGCTGCTATATATATAAGGGGATGCACTAAATACAGTGAAACTTCTAAGTATTTATGTAATTGCTGTCTTAAATTCAAACTGTCTTCATATGTATTTAAAAATTATAGTAAGACAAGCAAACTAATCATTTAAATTATAAGATTAATTTTAGAAACTATGTATTATGGTGCATATGTGCAATGTCATGGTGTATATTCTCTGTCAGATGCACACATAATTCATATATTTCAAAAAAACATAGACAGGTTTTGTTTTCAGACAATCTGATCTCCTGTTGGCAAAATAGTTTTGAAAGGCAGCTCATATCCTAAGCATGTCTCCTCAAATGTATACACCAATGAATTAAACTGCACTTACTTTCAACTATTTTGAATTGGAATCATATATTTCACAGAAAAACTAGTATAACAGTCTTACTTAAGCTTCTGTAGCATGAAATAAAAAAATTCTTTCTAGCTATCTCAATAGGAAGTTCTCAGAAATCATTAAAATAATATTTTTAAAAAATATTGCGCTTATTTTCTGCTTGGTCAGACAGTATACACACTTATATGTGTATAAGTGGTCAGACAGCTTGAATTATTGAAAATCTATCAGAATATTAAATATCTAATCTACTTAATTTCTTTTAAAGCCTCAATTTTTGGAAATAAACATGCTTTTAAAAATGAAGAAATCATTTTAGTGGCTTAGTTCATTTGCATTGTGCTCCTAACAGGCTAAGGCAAAGCTGTCAAACCCATGGCAGGCTGGATGTGTCATGCACTGGCCACACCCACATCAATTTTAGCGAAGGGGAGGAAGCTGCAATACACTATGTGACGCTGCCTGTGACGCTGTGAGTTTGATACCCCTGGGCTAAGGCATCCCAGGAGATGATGCACAAGTGGTTGCTGGTGGTGATAAATGATTTTCTGGGAGAGGTGGTGGTGCTTCAGTCCTTTATGGTGGCTATGATTCTCCCCCTTCCTAAAATGCCATTGCTTGATCCCACTTATATAGATAATTTTCATCCTACTCCAACCTTCCCATTTGAGAAAGTGGTTGCGCTGCAGTTCCAAATGATCCTGGATGAATCCCTTTCACTTGGGATTCAGGCATGGATATTGGATGGAAAAGGCATTGGTTACGCTTTTTGATGATCTTTGACTGGAGCGAGATGGTGGTAGAGGGTCTGTCTATTCTCACTCTTTCAGCAGTTTTTGATACTATCATCCATGCTATTCTTCTGGAATGGTTCCAGGGATTAGACGGCACTGTCTTGTCCTGGTTCACTTCCTTTCTCTGAGGCTGTTCTCGGTGCTGATGTGGGGTGACAAATCTGACCTCTGCTTTTCAGGATCCCTCAAGAGTTGGTATTTTCTCTATTCCTGTTCAACATCTATATGAAACCTCTGGAGGAGACCACCTGTCACCATGAGGAGTGATATCATCTGTATGCTGATTGTACATCTTTGGGCAGAATAACCACTAGATAACCGGATGGAGATTTCTGCCATCAGTAAGTTTCTTGATTTTTGCAGCCCAGTCTGGTGATGTTCAGGAATCCTGGCTGAAACCAGACAAGGTGCTGAAGCTGTAGCACAAACCAGCAAGAGAGTCCCCAACATTCTTCACTTGGTCTCCATCAATAAAATGATGACCAAAATTTAGAAGGCTACTACTCACATACATGTATTTATCAGCTACTAAAATACTAGAGAAAGCATGACTTGTGATAAAAACCTTTTCAATTCTTTGAAAGCATAACGTGAGATTACAAATAAAGACAAGAAAAAGTTTATGTTCAAGCCATCAAATTAGAAGCCTAGAACCATATTTAGTCTGAAATAAATTTCATGGTATTAGATTTTAATTCCAAATAAGATTGTGCAGACTGCTTCTTGAGGAGAATTCCAACAGAAAAATAATCAGAACAGAGATACTATCTCTCTCCTTTGTCTTATGCTAATGAAGAAATAAATGCCTGTCCCAAAAGCCAAATCCTGAGAAATTGAAATGAGATGACACTCTAATTATGCTTAACACCACTCTCCTCATCCCTGCTGCTTCCACTGTTGTAAATCATGGAGGACTCCACAGAGATTCTAGTAGAATAACATAAAGATACTGAATGCCTTACTTTATGAGGTCTATGCTTCTCATGAACATGGAGAATGTGGATCCTCAGACGGTCCCGTTTTTCAAAAGATCGGTTGCAAAGATGGCATGGGAATTTTCTGTTCCCTTGGTCCACACACCGTGTGTACTTCAGATGTTTGTCCCGGTAGTATCTGTAGGCAAAGACTTTTTCACACCGCCCGCATTCATAACCCTTCACAGATTCTACAAAGAAAGGAGGAAAAATTACCCTGAGGACCTAAAGACAAGTTATAGCAAAAGACATGGGCAGCAATCGGAAGGCAAGTAAAATACAAAGTTGTTTTGTCTATGGAGATTCTCAGTCATCCAGGTCATGGCTGTCCCAAAGGTTTTCAAGAGGCAACTGGACTTTCTCGTTTTTCTTTGAAGACCTTTCGCTTCTCATCCAAGACGCTTCTTCAGCTTTTATTCAGAGCCTGAAGAAGCTTCTTGGATGAGGAGTGAAAGGTCTTCAAAGAAAAATAAGGAAGTCCAGTTGCCTCTTTAAAAAGCACTTTTGGAAGAAAGTTGTTCTGTATAACAAAGGAAATGACTAGGTCAGGGGTCTGCAACCTTAAAAAGCCATTTGGACCCGTTTCCCACAGAAAACAAAATACCAGGAGCCACAAAACCTGGATGGGTGTGGCCAACTCAACATCACTCCCACCCAGTCACATGTCATCCCCCAGCCACGCCTACCCAGGTTTTGTGGCTCCCAGTGTTTTCTGTGGGAAATGGGTCTCTCTCTCCCCATTTCTATTTTTCTTTTTCCTCTCCCTCTTTTTCTTTCTTTCTCTCCGTTTCCCTTTTTCCTCTCTCATTCTCTCCCTCCAGCTCTCTCGTCTCTCTCTCTCGTTTCTTTTTCCTCTCATTCTCTCCCATCATTTTCTCATTTCTTTTTCTCTCCTTTTCTTTCTCATTTCTATCTTTCTCTCCCTCATGTTTTTTTTCTTTCTTTTTCTTACTTCTCATTTGTTTCCTTCTCATTCTCTCCCTCCAGCTCTCTCATTTCTTTCCCCGTCTCCCTCTCTCCCATTTCTTTTTTCCTCTCTCATTCTCTCCCTCCATCATTTTCTCATTTCTCTCTCTCTCTCTTCCTCGTGCATGAGTGGAGATATCCTCCGCAAGTGGCCAGGCTCGGCCAAAGCGCAGCAAATTTGTGTGGGTTGACCACCTGATGGGCGAATGTCTTTGGCGAGGGTGCTCTGGCTTTCTCCGAGCCTGATCCTTGGGGTAGGCATGTGAGATTCTTCGGGCCAGCCCACTTTTCCCGCTCCCTGAGCTTCTTTACTCCTCTAGCTTATTGCCAGCTGAAGGAGTAAGAAGCTCAGGGTAATGGGAAAAGGGGGCTGGCGCTGCTAACCTTGCACGCCCACCCCGGGGATCAGGCTTGGACAAAGCTGGATCACCCTCGCCAAAGACACCTGCCCATCAGCTGGTCAAAGTTGTTCCGCATACGTTTGTTGCGCTTTGGCCAAGCTGGCCGCTCGCTTGAGGGTATCCTTACTCGTGCACAACCTCCTGGCCCCGCAACAGCAACCTCCCGGCCCCACAACATGAAAAGAAGGATCATCTTCACCACTACGGCTTGTTCTCGCTCCTCAGCTGCAGGCCTATCCCCCTTTCCATCATATTCTTCTCCATGATTCCATTCCCATCCCGCCAGCCCTCATGTTAGCGATGTTGGTGTCGGCTGCTGGGTTGGGCCAGTGGGTCTGGGCTGAGAGCAGGTCGTGCAACTGGGTTGGCAGGGAGCCACAGGAGTGGGGTCAAAGAGATGCATGCTGCTTTGGATCCGCAGATTGCCGACACCCAGACTAGGTAAAGGCTAAATGAAAACATACAGATCTCTTACAACTGCATTAGTGAGGTTGCCAGTATTTTAACTGAAAACCAGCTTCCCTTTCTGAAAATATATTCTATGACTTAATTCACTTTTAATGCTCACTTTATATGTTTTTGTCTCTAGGAACTAAGTATAGCTACTGTACCCCTTTGAAGAACATTAACCTCCTCCAGCGATCAAGAACTGTATTTGTGTCTCAACACTGAGACCCAACTGAACACCTCTAGTTTTCCTAGAAAGAAGGATCCTTGCTTTGAACCATTAGCCTATGGGAGAACGCTGGCCAAATCGACATATTGCTTGCTTGTATCGCATGCTACCCATAGTGAACTTAATGATGATTTGTTCCAACTACAGGCTTTTTTTATTTGTGTTTGCACAATTCCCTGAAAGATTTGTGGGAGTAGGCTCTCATAACATGTAAGGGTCAAAAGATGACTAATTGTTTGCAGTTTAACTGATATTCAGAGGGGAAAGATTTGCAAACTGACCTTCACTATGCTGTGGAGTTCGCTTTTCTTCTGATGTTCCTTTGAGGCTGATAGGGATGCCAAGAAACTGTGAGTAACAATCACCATACCAGACCAGCAGTTCTTGGCCAGGTGTAATTTCTTTGCAGCTCTCATAATAGATCTGGCCTTGGCACTGAAGGGCTGTCAGGTTTTGCTCCTCTGGGAAGCGGGCACAGTTCACTAATGACATCCAGTTTCCAGAAGAACCTCTGCCGTCAATGAAATGACTCAATTGGCCATCTTCAAAAATCTGCAAAACAAATATACATGTTTAAGGCATGTAAACATCCGGGTATTTCTTGTGCAAGGCTTTCACACACTTTGTTACCTAACCTTGAACCACCTTTAACACCCAGACAATTGAATGGTTGATTTGAGAAAAAGCAGAAGAGATGACTGAACCTTTGATGTTCAGACTTAGAAGGTGAATGTAATTATATATGTTTTCTTGGAAAAATTCCTTCGGGACTTTTTTTTAATCAATAAATTCAGGGATGGAGAGGCTGGTATCTAACCTTGCAAGCTGTACCATGCATAGCAGACATGGGAGTGGGATGTACATTGTTTCTCTTCCCCCCTCAAACCCTACCAACTTTCAACTGTTCTAAGGCAGAAGGTGTAATTTCAAGTACCTCCCACATCAAAGAATTGTCATCATAAGTTTTAATCTCGCTAGTGTTGACCACTTTGCCTTGGAAAGGACCAAACCGAATACCCTTAAGAATGGTTTCTGTGCAGAAGATACCCAACTGTGGGCCATCGATAAATACAGTCTGCAACACAGTCAGACCTGAAGGGAAAAAACCGAGTTGGTTAATAAAGTCAAAGTAAAAATGTTATCAATAAAGAATTCAGTGACAGACAGCAACCATCCTTCCCAAATGAACAAAAATGTACTTACCTTTGGGAAGTTGTAGGGTTGATCTATCCAACAGTGGAGGTTGACTGTCAGTATCTCCTGAAAGAAAAGCAGAAATACAGTCGACTGGGCTTTTAAGAAGCAAGAATAAAGTAAATGTGCTCAAATTGAATACTCTGCTAAACTAGAATCCAAAATAAGTTGCCACAAATTGCTACAATATAAAGAGAGCAGTAGGTTCACCAGATATGCATCAACTACCATATGTCCACTTTAACTACCTGTTGAAATGCCTATGAGATGAATCACAGAGCAAAGTGGTTCAAGTTGCCACTGAACTATGTTTTTTTCTACAAGGAGAAGCTCTGAGTCTTGCAAAGAAGGGGATCCATGCAAAAAGGTTAAGGCACCATTCAGAAAAACATTCTAAAACTCTGTTATACTATCCTGGTTGGGAATCAGGAGAGTTGTGAACCAATGGATCTGGAAGTGACAAGTTAGATAAGCCCATTTGGGGCCATTTTTATCTTGAAAATATTTAATGAAAATCATGAAATGTTTCATTAAATTCCCCACCCAATGTTTTGTTAACAAAAACATCAATGCGCAGTCAACATAACATGCGAGAGCAATGAGATCAATGTAATTATATCTAGGACAATTAATAGTTGCTGTATTCTCAACATAGACTACTGATTTTTAACATAGTTTTTAAAATAAAGGGCACTTCAGCTATTTATTTATTCCATCCCTAAACGCATCAAAGTACACAGTTCTTCTTAAACCATTTCACTCTCCTCCTCCTCCTCCCTTTTTAACATCCTTCCTGCTGTAGAAAAAGGGTCTGTGCTGCTGCCCGATATATTAGTTCTCCTGCCAACCAGTATCCTTGATGCTTTGAATCGATGCTTGCTTTTGCCAGGAATCAGACAACTAACTGGAACAAAAAAAAAAAAAATTATCAACCAAGATCAAGGCAGGTTCGAGAACTCTTTAGGCACCAGACCAAAGGTTTGCTCAGCCTTTCGAGGAAGGGATCCAGAGTCAGGAGAAAGCAGCCTCTTACTAGAAGAAAAGCTGTTTCCAACCACCCTCCTAGCAGAATTTCCGCCCGCTTCCTCCCTCGCGATCCAGGGCACCTTTCCTTGGGCTTCATTCAGCCCGGCTGATCAAGAGACCTAAATATCAGAAGAAACTTCCTGAGCGCTTTGGCTTAGCGGGGCTAAAGCTTAAAGAAATGCGCCAGTCCCTTCCCTTCTGAGAATGAGAAGTTTTCTCTCCCCACCCCCCACCCCAATTCAAGCCACACGCGATCCAATTGAGGGAGCATCGAGGGCGATCTGAGCAAAGGCGCCTCTCTTTCAAACTCGCCCAAAGCAGAAAGAAGCGAGGCTTTCGGGGTCGAGACTGGGCGGAATTGCCCGCAAGACCCGCAGCGAGAAAGCGGAGGGAAAGCGCCGGCTCAGCCGCCTCCCTTACCCGGACTGGGGCCCACCTGCCGAGAGGGCGCGCGGCTGCCTCCCGCCGGGCAGGGCGCCGTAGAGGACGGCGTGGAGCTCCTGGGCTGTGAAGCGGTAGCTGGGCGGGCGCTGCTCAGCGTCCGGCGTCCCTTCGAGGCTGCTCCTCTTTCTGGGCGAGGCTCTCTTCCCGGCGAAGGGCGCGGGCAGCACTGGCACAGGCCGGGCCAGCGGCGGCGGCCGGAGAAGAGGAAGGGTGGGCGGCGGAGGTGGCAGCGGGGGCGGCCCCAGGTAAGTGGCGGGGAGCCGCTGGAAGGGGAAAGGCGGCAGCGGAGACGAGCCCGGGCTCAGGCCCCCGGCAGCTGACGCCGGCGACTGGAAGACGACCGTCGGCGAAAGCGTGTCGAAGAACAGCGGCGGGTGCAGAGCGGGGGCAAAGGAAGCGGCACTGGCGGGACAGCTGTGGAACAGCATCAGCATGGACTCACCGCCGGCGCCCTCGGCAACGGCGGCCTCTTTGGAGGGCGCGGTCCCAGCCAACGAAGAAGCCATCGCTGCGCGCCCGTCTGGAAAAGACGCGGCACCTGTGAGGCGGAGAAAAGGCAGAGTTGAGGCAGCGCGCTTCGGGGAGGGGCAGCTAAAACCCGTAATCCCCGCCCAGAAGCCGAAGTGTCGGCCCAACCTGTCTGGCGGAAGAGCCGCGGGTACCTCAGCGCTGGGGAGCCGGCCTCGGGTGGCGCGTGCCCACTGTCTCCTCGGTGGGAGTCACCCCGCCTCCCGCGCACTTCTCTTTAAGGGAGGGGAGGGGGGGCAGCTCAAGCCGGAACCTTCCCGAACTTTCTTCAGAAGCTCGGCTGCCGATCCAATGGCCCTCAAGCTCGGAGGCCCCGTGCGGGAGGGGAAGCGCAGCCGTCCCCTTTTCCTGTCCCTTGGTGTCCTTCAGATGAATTAGGCTACAACGCTCAACCCTGCCGTCGTTGGCCGTATTGACTGAGATTGTTGGGCTCTGTATTGCCCTTCACGGGGACGGCAGGAGAGCGAGAAAAGCTCCGGGGAGGCCAATTCTGATCTCCCGCCCGTTATATTGATGCTTTTGAGAGAGAAATATAGAGGCCGGTGTAATTTCTGTCTCTCTCGTATCACTGGGAAACGCACCTGGAGCGATGAAAAGACAGGATGGGCGGCAATAGGTTTTATAGGACTCCTGTTCGCCATCCCTGAAAAGCCCTAAAAATCGACAACCCTTCTCCTCTCTTCCTTCCCTTTCAGAGGTGCTTAGCGTCAGGTACATGGGTGCAGGACTTTAATCCAAGAAAGCCGAATCTTCCCATTTTCCCCGGGAGGAAAAAATAATTTGGGTAGTATGCTATACAGTCGCTTACGTGTATACACACACACACACACACATATGGATTTTATTCCTTGGGAAAGGGATGTTGGACTGCAGCCTCGGTTAGTTTTGGGAAGATTTGTATCCTTCGATCGGCTTAATTCTTTCTAACTTTGTAATTACAGGGCTCTTAAAAATACATTTCTAGAAGTACGAATAAGAACTTGGTGGCGCTTTAATGATGAAACCGACAGTGAATAATCCCCAACACAATACGATTTACTAAATGAGTAAATTGGATGGAACTGCACTGCAAACGTGTTTCTCGGATGTGGGGGTGGAGGTCCGTGACCGAGCTACGTTAGACTTGCAACCTTTTTTCCCCTTAAAGCCGTATTTCCCTGTATACTTGTTTGAACCAAGCTGTGACACAATTTACTTCCGAGTAAATTTGCCTAGATGGCGGCTTAATTGGAAATGGTTTGAAAATACATTTTCCGGAAACGATTTTGGGACCTTCCAATGCAATCCAATTCCTGCCTCCTCGAAAGTAAGATGCGTTGTTACTGAATGAGAATTGCAGGCAGAGGACCGTGCCTTAAGGACCATTAGAAGCTTTATTTCACCGGCTTTTATGCAGTGCAGAACACACGTTCGCACGTGTTCTCTCAGCTGCTACAAGAAGCCTCTCCCGAGGGAAGGCGGCCGCGGTGACAATCGTGCTGGCAAACCTTGGTGGACGAGAGCTGCAGAAAGTGGGGCAGAGAAAAGGTCGCCTTCCATACGAAACACAGAAAGCGCCTAATTCAGAAAACGAGAGGCCTAACGTAGTTTCCCGCTACAATAAACCACGTTTTTCCTTCTGCTCAGCTGCAGGAGAGCTGCTTTGCCTACGCGGGTCCTAGAGGACATATTTTGCTGGCTGGGGAACTGCGGTCTCTTGTTTGGGGATCGCCGTCCTTAACAGGCAGCCCGTGTTTCTTCGGGGATCCCTCAAACCCCTCCCGTAACGGGCAGACCCAAAGCAAAAGGCGGAGGCTCGGGGGAGACGCAGCGCCTCCACGTGCAGAGTTGAGCCTGTAATCCACCGCCTGTTCAGACGCGGGTGGCTCTTTGGCAGCGCTCGAGGGAGGAGAGCGGGGGATCGGAGCGACCCTCAAGCTCCCACTTCTGTTTCTTGGGCCACTCTAAGCCGCTTGATTCATCCAGCCGGCGTGGTCCGCCAAGCCCGGTGGCCGATAGATAGGGCGGGACCAGAGTTTCTTTGGCCGATGCTTCTCATCTTCTGGAAGGTGACGGCGTGGCTTCGAAGGCTGCCTTTCCAAGGAAGGGCAGCGGCTCACCTCGACGACTCCCTCGTTTTGCTACCGGGAGCGCGGTGCTTCTTTCGCCGGCCTCTCGGCATAATCAGCGGCTGCAGCCGAGGGGGAACCGCGATCTCTGCGTGGGCGACTATGCGCCTTCCGCAGGCCCACCTATCGCTCCTGCCCTTCTCTTGGGCCTGCGGTCCCAGGGCACCGTTTCCCGCAGCTACCTGCTGCTGGCGGAGGGCACGTGTCGCTCGGTTCGGCTCCTCCTGCTTTCATCCGACGGGTTTATCGAGGTAAATCGTGGTTTCCACAAATAATGTAGACTCTTCGGTCACCGTGAACCATAAACGGACTCAGTCTGGTGAAAGCGAAGGAGTCAGGAGGGTGAAAGTGCTAGAAGCACAGAACAGACCCTAAACATCCAAGCTGTGTTTGCACAAAACCGCGCACTCAAAATGTGTAGTGACCCTACTTAGTGCGTGGCTTCCTTCAGGCACTGGTTAACCCAAAGTCTGAACGACTCGACGTCAAACGCAACCTGGCCTGGAAACAACGCCCGGTTTACTCGATGGGCTTCCCGCCCACTCGGAATGTGGGAGCCCCATGCGGTCGGGGACAGTTATGGGAAATTACGACGCCCTCAAAGTGCAGAAACCCACAGGGTGGTCAAAAAAGTCAAGATGGCGGCACAAAAATAAGGGAGGAGTTTCAATCTCAACTTCGTGAGCCGCCATTTTACGTTTTTCGACCACATCGTGCGGATACCCGTGAACTCGAATATTGCTGTAGGAGACAAAGGTGAGGAATGGTGCAGCAATTCCTTGTATAAAGTTAAGTCTCCTCCCTGGGGCAGAGCCCGAATTAAAAGTCGTTCTGTAGCGATTCTAGTTCCTGGACGATTATCCCACGGGGAGCTTACAAGCGGTGGGGTCCCAGCCAAGATAGGTGTCACACCAGGTGTGATGCTACTTAATTTCTCAGTCCCGAGAAAGCCAGCTACCTGCTCCTCCTTCCTGAACCTTCCGCTGCGCCCAAGCTTCGCAGTTTCGAAGAGGCTAAACCTCCTAAACCGAGTCGGCCTTATAGCTTCCGGCTGAGCCTCCCCTTGCAGAAGCTTGAAAAGCCCCGGAAGCCACTTTCTGCTACGTGAACTCCGGACGACCGTCTGGTGGCAGCAAAGAGACGCCTTCCGGCCACTCTTTGTAGTCACCCGGTGTTCGTCGGAAGTTCTGCAGCGCAAATAAGCTCGTCCGATTTTCCGGTCAAGGGGCCCTAAAAAGAGAGCGGGAGGAGACAAGTAAGACGGCTGCCAGCTTTTGGCATTGGAAGCCGAGCGAAACGTGATTTATCGGCAAGGGTTAAACGAATGGGCCGAATTGGAAGGGGAGAGCGCTGGGAGCCGCTCCCGTTTTCCTTCGGGCTTCCCTTGCATTGAGATAATGCGCTACGGGCTCCCCTGAAACAAAATAGGAAAACCTGCGAAGCCGACCCCGCGAGAGTCTCAGGATTCCACCTGTGGGGTTTTCTATTGAGGGAGAAAAGCGGTCGCCTTCGCAACGCCGCGGGTTTCGGCGGGGGTCCTTTGGGTGGGACTCGCGGTTTCCCCCTCGCCCCCCCCTTTCCGGGCCCTCGAATCGTTTCGTAAAAAGTCTCCTCCGGCCGAGAGCCTTTGACGAGTTAGTCGGAAATCAGAGAAAGGGGATTAATTTCGAAAATATCCAAAAGTGCTTCTGTCGAAATGGATCGCTCCGAGTTGCGTCCTTCCTCCAAGGATTCGTCTTGGCGCTTCCTTAGGAAAGCAGGACTGTGATTGTCCATCTAACCATTTGTTCACTACTTTAAAAAAAAAAAACTTGCCTAGCGATGTGGAAAATTTGTATTAACGTTGTATTTGTATACTTCTTTTGATTACAAACCAGTTCCTCCCGAGATCCTCCTTCGTGCTTGGAATGTGTAAAACGCTTGAATAAACGTTGGCCATGAGAAAAGGGTGGGGAGGGAGGGAGGAAGGAACGGTATCCACAGCCGCACTCCCCGAAACGCCTCCAATCGATATCAAGTGAACCTTAACGAAAAGAATGCATCCATCCAGAAGAGAAAGGCGCTGCATTTCCGAAGTTTCGGGTTCGTTTAATGCTCGTTACCATTTCCCAAACCATAGTTGGCTAAGCCCCCAATGCCTCGCACCCAAAACATAAACCAGGTTGGTCCGCGAGCCACGCGGGACTTCACACAATTGGTATCAAAATGAAACCGTCCATTTTCTGCCTCGATGCGAAGCATAGTCCTGCAGAAGCGTTGACTTAATGTCAACCGCCTTTCTCTCCTGTCTCTTAACTGAAAATGAGCCGGACAGAAAAAATCGCATTCTTTCCCCCTCCGAACAGAAATTTCCTCTAACGTTGACCCCCCGTTGACGAATCAGATCAAATGGTTCTCTAAAGGCAACTGGATCAGCTTTCTTTTGATTTAATAGTGTTGCTCGCGAAAGGGGGTGCGTGGGGGAGAGAACGCTCGTGTTTCTGATTCCCACAGCCGAGTAATAAGAATCGGCGGAAAGGAGTTCTGTCCACCGAGAAGACAATCCCCCGGGAGAAACCGGGCTGAAGATACGATAGCCCCATTGGCGCTGGGGACGGGCGGGGTGTCGATGAAATATTAAATCTGAGCTTCCCTCAAGAGTTCGGGTTAGAGACCAATCAAACCTTGATCTAGGACTATTTAAGGACGACCGGGTGAAAAGATGAAAAAATGTGTGAAGGCAGGGGAGAAATAAAAGACGGTGCTTCTGTCTTCTTTCATTAACTGGGAAGTTGTAAGAATCACCTTTGGACCATTTAATTCTATTCGTTAACAGCCTTATGCAGAAAGGTTCAGAAGAAATCCTATTCAGTTCCATTGGATATATTCCC